TTCATCTGCCAAGAGAAAATAAACCTGACACATTCTCTTTGCTCTTTTCCTAATAAAAACCAATCCCTAATTTGTCACAGTTTTATCCCCTCTTGCTGGGTTCATTTCCCGGATAATCCAGCCCTTGCACTTTTCTTTTTACACATGGTAAGATAGCAACAGTACCTGTAACATTTGTTTTTCATAAAGTGTACCTCACTTACCTGATGGATTTGCCATTTCCACACAGGTTTCACCTCCCCTGGTCTCTGGATTTGCCCTGATTTCTGGGCATTAGGATCTGGTGTGGTTCTCATCTCTGCCATGGAGAGCTCAGGGATACGGTGGAGGCAAGTGCAGCAGCTCAGCTGGGAAGCCAGGAGATGGAAAGATTATGTCAGGAAAACAGGAGCTTGATCTTTCAAGTCCTACAAAACTAATAGCTTATAATACACAGAACAGTTCTGTGATGTCTTTCACAGCTTATTTTTTTAAAAATATGTCTCTTTAAATGTTTATTTGCTTAAGATCACAAATACAACAGATAGAGAGCTGCCAGTGTTTAGCCCTGGTTTTATTTCTGTATTTGTGGAGGCTTTGAAATATCAAGTGTTTCTTCATTCTCATTCATCATTCTGGAATACCAGCTTTTGTGGCTTTTTAGCATTCAGAGTAGTATATAAGAAAAATACCAAGATAAATAGATAATAGAAAAATAACTATTTTGTCAGTGCAGGTACTGCAGTTTTCCTAAGCAGAAGACATGATCCCACCTCCAAGAAAAATGAGGTGTATTTTTCATGGAGAACAATCTTTTTCCTAATGCAGTCCATTTTGAAGCATGTTTAACATTCCAGGCATTTCACAGAACAGAAGGTGTATGAAATGCTAACATAATACCTGTAGAAAATGTCTGTGGTGATGCAGAACACCTTTGGTGCACACCCAGCCCCAGCTCCATGGATCTGCTGCTTGTCAGACCTCCCTACACCCAGTCAAGGAGTTAGAGCAGCTGACATTAAGCACATTCCATTTTCTGATAACCATTGTAAAATTCTCTGAAATGTTGTTTCTGTGGAGGAATTTCCCTGACTTTAGCATGGTTCCACACAAGAGTGAGGAAGTTCCTGTGTAGGTCTGGCTGGTAGTCAGGCAATATGGTAGTCAGGTATGGGAGATGACCTATTTAAGCTGATGTATTTAAATATTTTTACATTCTGTTGCCTTTTTTTTTCCCCCATACATGAAATGTTCAGACTTCAGAAACATACAGAAAATACTGCAGAGCTCAGAGACATTTCGCCAGAGTTCTGACTCATTTCACAGCTGCTCCTTTTCCCCAAATACTTGTAAACAGTTTGATGACAATGGTTTCACTGAATACATATTTATTATAAAGAGCCATGTTGCACTGCCTATGATGTTCTGTGTAATAAAGGATGTACAAAATTTATATAACTGATTTTAACAGAAATTAAAAATAGTCATTGTCCCCTAAATTCTTTTTGATGTGTAAGCTTGCTACACATCCAAAAGTGTCATTTTGAACTTCTGTGTCTCATAATTTGTGTTATATTGGATAATCAGGGCTTCCTTCAAAGCTACTGAAGCCAAGTGAGGGTGTAGTGTTGATCTCAGTAGTGTGTGAATTGCTCCCCTTCTTAAAAGAAGTCTCCCTAATGAATCTGAGGAAAATGCTTCTCTGCAAAAATGTGCCAATGGTTTGTACAAAGCAGGACAGCACACCTGACTGCTCCAGCTCCGATAAATGCCGTGGATGAGCAAAGATCATCCCTCTTTTGTGCTTTATCACAACAGATGGAGCCATAAATTTGCTCCCCTACTTACAGCCTGGCCTGCTTAATGCCCAGGTGTAGATGTGGGCAAGCTGCTGGACACAGCAAATGCTCTGCAGCTGAAACAGATACTTGTGCAGAAGAGGAGCCCCCCTGAACCTTAGAAAATCCTGTGCACCTCCTTTGAATGGGGGAGGCTGTGGAGGTCTGGTCCTGTGAGTTTTTGCCATTGTACCTGCCTGAAGTTCTGGCAGAATCTGTTCTGAATTATTAAATTACGGGAAAGTTTCACAAATGGGGAAAGAGTTGTTTTTTGCCATTTTAGGAGCAACTGTATTCAAGTAGAGTGAGATTGCTGCACATGCTGTATTTCACAGGTGTCACAACATCTGTTTGTAGAGTGTTTTTTTCTTCTTGAAGTTTGCATTCTATATGAAGGCAGTGTGTCATTTTCATTATATTTAGTTAAAAATATATTTTAAAATACCCTGTGTGGAGTTTGTCATACATAAATCCAAGGAAACTGAATCCTTCCCTCCTATGAGAAATGAAGTCTCTAGGAGGGTTAGCTGCCACAATACTGCTTTGCCACAGTCCTGCCTCAGAAGAAGGGTGTGGCAGTTCTCCTGCCTAATCCAAGCCCTGCTGAATTTGATCAGGAGGCTTCCCTTGGCTGCAGTGTCCACCGTGGCATATCCTCAGCCACATCCTCCACAGTGCTCTTCCTAAAAATGTTGGTGACATTTCTAATCATGAATAAATAGTCTTTAGGAGCAGAGTGGGACAGTGCATCACTTGGGAAGCCAGAAGGCAATTATTGCATGCAGAGATTGGAAACTGCTGGTCTGGCCTGCATCCAGACCCCAGACCTTGCTGGGGAATGTCCCTGCCTTGGAGAGCCTTCAAGTACTCTTCTTCCCTGCTAATCACAGTGTACTCCAAGAGCACACATCTGGGGCATTTCCTTCTTCCTGGGAGCCAGGGAGACTTAACTTTTGTAAATCCTCACAAGGTTTTATGGGGAAGGTACCTTGAAATCACAAAATGCTTGTTCTGTGCTGTTCCAGTCTGTTCATTAGTAAGACTTTCAGTTGTATAACAACTCTGCTTTAAAACTGTCTGCTTTCCTGTAACATCACAGAAATAGTAGACTTGGCCCCCTGCCTTTTGAAAAGTGACTACTGAGGTACTTATTAACATCAGTTCCAAGACATTTTTCAGTAAGAGTTGGAATATGGAAATGTCATATTTTTCCTAGCATTAAACAGTTGTTAAACTAAAAACATAACTATTGCCAGATAGCTATTTCTTGTGCCTGTCGTCTTCATAGAAGGAAAATGAACATGTCTTTTTCTTTCATTAATTGTTTTAAAGTTCATCCTTGTTTGGTGATCTAGTCAATTAAAAGTTTATGGGCAGCTTGTGAGAGCAGAAAACTAATTAATTTTAGGTGTTGGATAAAGCACATTCTTTTCCATTTTTGTCTGCTAATGAGTATTACTAATACCCATAATAACAGATCTTACAGAAAATACTGTTACACAGAGTTTATGGTACTTTACAAATAATTATCTCAATATCACTACGAATTAACAAAGTACTACTTTTGTGGGAAAATATGCATTAAGGCAACATTATATCATCACAGCCCCTAGAGAAAAGAATCTCTAATATCATTATCAGAGAAAATAAATCCTTTAGAAATGATCAGTTAAAGTTCACCATTTTTTCAACAGGGATGAACATTTTCCAGTATCCCACCTAGCATTAGCCCCAAAAGTGTAAGTCCAGATATATTAAAGATAGGCAGTGTCAATCCCTAGAGCATACTCCAGAATGTTGCTTTTCTTTTGATCTATATTTCTGTCTCTTATAGTCACTGAGATCAACTTAAGTTCTTCATTCAAAATTCCCTGTCATTGGAGTTGGATGGGTCTGTGGGGTAGTTTGGGCTTTTCACTACTGTGAATGCATCCTTTTATAGTCAGACTGGTTCTTGGAACTGGACCATCCAGCACAGAGTCGCTGTTCTGAAAGGTTACGTTGTTTTTATCCTTCCACTATAAAGTAGATTCTTACAAAAAGTCACACTTTGAAGTCACACAATACTGAGCTTTCCTCCAATTATATTATGTAAAGATATTCTATTGATATAAGTACAGGGATTATTTTACAGAGAAAATACTTTCTGAGAGGTGATTGTGCAACACCTCCAACCTTGCTGAAACTGCACAGAAGTTTAGCTCCACTTCACATTCTTGGCTCTTAGGAAAAGGTACTGAGATCTCTGATTGCACATGTAAAGAACTTGTTTATTTTAAAATATTTTATCTAAAAAACAGAGGTACAGGGTAGGGGGTTTTTTTCAGAGGAATATTGGGAGAGTAATTGACCATGCCAAAAAGCTGGTACTCAGAAAATTCTGAGATTTAAAATCCTTAAGTACATAGAGAAGACTATCAGGCTTTCTGTTGGAGAGCTTTCCAAAAGGGTTCTTTGTAGAGGTTGAGTGGCTTCTGGCAGCAGTTTTGGGGGGCTTTTACATTGATGAAATGTTAATGTCTCTCAAGGTATTCCTTCATTATGGTATTGAAAGAATATCACCTTTTTTGGCCTGCAAGGGCTTTGAGGTTCCAAGAGATGAAATACAGGACTAGACAGTGTTTCCTTCTTTGCAGTGATCTCAGCATGGTCAGAGTTGCACCTGTGCTGTTTTGTCCAACAAATAGCGCCCTGTGCAGCTAACAGCAACCAGTGATCTCTTTCTACATGGTCTCAGCCCACTACAGTGAAATGATCTTTGACATTGATGGCATAACATTGTCCTTTATAGATTAACACATTGATATCCAATTTGGTCAGATATCTGCATTCTCCTTCCTTGTCTGCTTCATTTAAATGTGTTTGTTCCTTGAAGGTGAAGTACCTGATACCTCTCTGCCTGTCTCTGCAATGCTGCTAACATTCAAGTCAATATAATAAAAAATAATTCTCTCTTCACTATACTTTTCTCTTTCCTGCCTCTTTTGAGTAGGGGTCCCCATGAGCCATGGTGTAATTATGGTAGTAACAGGTGAATGGGAAAGTTATTGCTGTGTGTGGTTCTCCTGGAGAAAGAAGCTGCTCTCTGTTTTTGCATGTGTTATCACCCACCTTATAATTGTTTCAGTGTGCAGTGAAATGCAATTTAGGTATGTGTGGTTTGTCTTGCTCCTCTCTTTTCAGATCCCCACATTAGTGATGCTGAAAGCCAGGGCAGATGGCTTCCATCCCCCTGCAGTGTGACCAACTGCCCTCTGGGCGAGATTTGCTGAGTGAAACAACTCTCCTTGATACATGTGGGGCTGATGGATGCAGCATTTATTGTGTTCTTTAACTAGCAAAAGGTTAGTTTGCTGATTAAGGTAGGGTGTTCGTTTTAAAAGTTTACTTATTTATTAAAGCACTGTTTATATTAGAATACAGACTGATATCTCAGTTATTCCCACTTCTTTAGATCTGCTCTGAATGGGAAGTGTTATTGTCTGTCAAACCAGCTGGCAGGGAATAACAGCCCCCTTGAACTCAGAGGCTGATGCTGTAGTGGCAGTTCTACTCATCCCCCTAACCAATGTCTGTGTGGTACAGTGGGGTGCGTTTAATTTGGTCTTCAATTCAGAGCTGGGTTACTGCTCAGTTAGGAGTATTGCTGAGTAAGACATAATTCCTCACAGTCTTGACAAATTCATTGCTCAGTCTTTGGGGTTTACCTATGCAAAACTTGGGAAATTCACTTAGAGAACCTCAGTTCTTCCCCATTAGGATGGAGGAATATCTGGAAGCATGTTAAACAATCCCTCTAAGCATCCATTCTAAGTCATAGTGATGCCTTTCCCAAGGTTTGATATGGTACAGTCATGTAGGAGATGGAAGTACACAAGTACAGTTATTAAAAATGAATGCTGTATCCTGTTTCCCTTGTGTATCTTGTCACTGACATGACTTCACAAGTTGCAAAGCTATTAAACATTTCAAACATGGAACTGGAGCTCATTAAGCAGAATGTTGACTGGTATATAGCAAACTGTTTCAAATTCAAGACTGTTAACGTTTGTCTCCAGAGTTTTTTGTCTTCTAGATTGTCACCAAGCAATTCAGCTGTCTGGGAATACAGCCTGTGCTTTCTGTGATCAGAGTGTGACTGTCCTTTGGGGTGAGGTAGTAGGTTGTATAGTTTTAGGGCTATGCCCTGCCTGTCAGATAACTATACAATCTACTGTCTTTCCTGAAGTGGCTGTGATGTCAGCGCTGGATGTCTCCAAAAGACTACGCAGATATTTTTCAGCTGTATCTGGGCTCTGTCTACGTGTTTGGTTCTTGTACACAAATGTCCTTAGAGTGTTTAGATTCCTGTATTTCTCACTCAGGCTCCAAAGCCGTTTCCTTCTGGCATTTGGAGAGCAGGTGGGGTGTGAGTGCCAGGACACAGAGGTACAACCCAGTCCGCAGTGGATTTGCTCACACGCAGCTGTCTGGGACTGCCATGGGAGTGGCCACTTGGAAAGAGCTGATCCGTTTCTCCCTTGTTCTCTGCCGTTTGTATTCATATTGAACATAAAAATGGTACTTTTGATTCAGCAGCTGTTTAAATCCACTTGGTGTAGGCTGTTTGAGAAACTACAAAGGGATGAGCTGGACAAAACCCTAAGAGGATGTCTCCCAGTCAGTCGTGTCCTGCCCTGGAACTGGTAAATTCTTGAACTCTAAGTAAGAGGTCTCTTTAGTCAGTTTTGGACACTGATTTAACTATTTTTTATTAAATATTGCTAGTTTGGGAGGGACAGTCTTTGCCACTGCAGTTGTCCTGTCTCTGGAATCCCTCCACAACTTCTGTCTGACTCCCAGGCAGAGCTGTGGGGAAGGGCTGAGAGGTCACACATGGCCTTTCTAAGGCTAAGAAATGAGTGGGCTGAGAGTGATAAGGTAATTTACTTACAAACAGTGAAATGTTTCCTTCAGAAGATGCACATGATGCTATAACAGGATGAGGTAGTAGGTTGTGTGGTTTCAGGGTAGTGATTTTGCCCCAGTCAGGAGATAACTATACAACCTACTGCCTTCCCTGATAGGCAGCATAACAACATCAGTGTCTTAATTCACAGAGAAACAAGAGCTAAAATACACTCCTGAGATATACTTCTGAGACTAGCAAAGTAAGTCTAGGTACCTATTGTTCCTATGCTGTCCCTGATAGCTCTAAATTTAGATTTTAAGTATAGAGTTTTGTTAACTGCCTGCAAAATAATTACCCTTTCTTAAGTCTTCATCATGAAAAATTGAATTAAAGAAGTTTTATTTATTTCAAAGTTTGCCTGCTCTCAATCTGTTTCATTTCTCGTTCATTTGAGTGGGATGAAGTTACTGGGGGAAATGATTTCCAAAATGTTGCGAACTTGCATTCAGGAAGTTTGTATTTCCTTGACATCTAAGTTTGAGTGCAGCAAATTTTACTCACAATGCCCTGGTTTAGTTCAGCCTTATCTCTCCCTCAGGAACCTTGAAGTGTTTTACAAATAGTACTAGGTTAAGTCATACAACATTCTTCAGCAGGTAAGGTTTACATTGCAAAGGAAAAGCTGTAATAATGAAAATCAAGAATGAGAATTTAAAAATCAAAACCAGACATCTATTTAGTCCCTCAGTTTCTCATAACAAGCTCATTTAATGACATTTAGTGCCCCTGAAAGAATTCTCTGCTATCTAAAAAGCACAAATTGCACCTGAAAAACTATGGACAAAAAATGTTTGGTCATTAAAGATATTTTGAGAATATGAACTTTAGAGTCTTACAAGAAAAATCTGTGGAAGAGAGGGAATATAACAACAAGGTGCTGAATTTGGTTGTAGAAGCAGAAATCATTCTCCCATGTGCAAAACACACCCTGAAATAGGAGTCCTGTAAACCTTAAGGTTACCTTGAGTCCAGAGGTATCAGACTGGTTTTGTATAGCCATTAGTATATATTTTGATTATACAGCAGCCTGTTACCATAAACTGGAGTCAAAATTGAAGGTAGTTGTAATCCTGTGTTTCTGTGTGCCATGCTATAAAGGCAAGCCCACCTTCCCTGAGAACGTTTCCCCTCATCTCTTTAGCTGGGAGAGCTGTGACATGCATGGTGATAGCAAATGGAATAACTCTTGTATTCAGCAGCAAAAGCGGGTATTTTATTGCCTCTCTGGTCCAAAAACACCACACATTTTCTGGAGTCAGGTGGTATTTGAGGTCATTCAACACCTCGAAACAAGGCCTTTTGTTCATACCTTTACCAAAGGTTTGGAAGGGTTTTTGACTTGGGTTCATAGAGATAGATAAACACTGTTGGTGCAGGAGGAAAAGTTAGTACATGTCTGAAACACCCACAGAAGAACAGGCAACACTGTGACTGGTTTTAATCTCCATTCCTCTGGCTGTGTATCTCTTGATGCAGCACTGCAGGTCCTGAGCTCTTTCTTGCAGCCTCAGGACTGCAGTGTGAACATGAGACAAGCTGGGGTAGTGATTGCATTGCATGTAGCCTAAAGCATCCTGCTGCTCTCCAGGGTGCAGAACAGGCTGGACAGCACAGTCTTGCATTCCATAAATACAGAGAGAATGTTCTCTCTGGGACAAGGGGGTTAACAAAGAGAGAACACTGTCCACATTCTACAGCAGCCTGTTAGATCTCAACTCTGAAGTAGTTTTCAAATCTTATGGCTCTGCCTGGGTCAGCATTTTGCTCTTGGTAATGAGCTGTGAGTTTTCAGATTCTAGTTGTTCTGGCAATCCCATTAAAATAAAGAGCCAAAAATATCCACAGTGTTCTCCTCTCTAGGATCAACTGTAAATGCAAAACCATGTGCCTGTACTTGGCAGTGTGTGAGCCTGCAGATAATCAGGCCTGTCCTTAGCAGTGGCTGTCATTACAGCTAATGACACTCCACCAGAAACTTGAAGGCACAGCACGGGGGCACCGAGTATTTCCCAGAACTGCACACTGAAAATGTTTGTATCCAAATGTAAGCAGCAGCTTGGCCTGCTAGAACCACAAGGGAAGAACAGCTGAGGTTTTTTTAAAACTCCAGTCAGCATTGCCACTTCTTGAGGTGTTATGCTGTTTGTTGCACACATCTGGTGTGAGGAAAGAGCTTAATCATGAGTACACATCACATGAGAAATGTTTATCATGGCATGCATTTTATGTAGCATGTGTCCGCTTAATCTCTCTTCAATTTAGTGTGCAAGTATTAATTGATGAGCATTGATGAGCAGAAGCTTAACACATCTTGCTGGAACAAAGCCTGTGCATTTGCTTACAACAAGCCAGGTAAAAATTGGGTGTGGAATTTTCTGTGAGGCCAGGATTTTAGTATTTCGATTCCCTTCCGTGCCCTGGAGAAAGAGTGTGGTGTTTTGAGAGAAGGGACAGAGAAGACATTAAGCAGCTCTCCGACATTGAAGCCACCATTGAACTTTGGATCTCCACTGTGTGGATGTGTGAGGTGTACTGCCTCTTCTACCTTTTTAAGGCTCTTAGAGTTTTGTTGGGTTTTTAAACATGAGTAAACCTCCTTATTCTCTGAAACCAGTTACCCAATGTAAAAATTTTTACTTCATTTCACAAAACACTAAAGCAAAGGTAGACATTTACAGACAACCCCAATAACTACCCTAATGACATGTGCTGCCAGCCCCACCTGTGAACATCCAGCCTTGCCCATGTGTGAGTGCCCTGGAGTGCAGCTGCTGGGGGAGTCCTCCTCCATGGCTGCAGCAGAGGAAAACCATAGAACACAGGAGTGGTTCCTGGGCACTCTGCTGAAAGGGTGAATTGCAAAGGGGTATTTATACTGGGGGAGGATCCAAAAGCCCAGTAAGACTGTAACTGGTGTGCCAGTCCATGATGGTACTGGTGTGACATGGCACACCCTGTCTTGCTAAACAGAAGGGGCAGTTGTGGGTGCAGGGAGAGAGCTGGTGCTTGTTGGGACATTCAGAAAGCCTGCCCTTGGGCTCAGAAAGGGTTCCCACATGGGGCCTGGTCCCAGCATTGTGCTCTTACTGGGAGGTAAACAGTAGATTCACAGAATCGCAGAATATCCTGAGTTGGGCGGGACCCACAAGGATCATTGAGTCCAACTCCTGGCCCTGCACAGACACCCCAACAGTCCCACCTTGTGCATCCCTGAGAGCGCTGTCCAAACACTCCTGGAGCTCTGGAAGCCTTGGGGCCATGACCATTCCTGGGAGCCTGTTCAGTGCCCAGCACCCTCTGGGGGAAGGACCTTTCCCTGATGTCCAGTCTGACCCTCCCCTGACACAGTTCCAGCCTATCCCTGGTCCCAGAGAAGCAGAGATTGGAGTTGCCCTTCAGGAGGAAGCTGCAGACTGCAGTGAGGTCCCCCCAGTCCTATTTTCTCCATCTGAACTGACCAAGTCACTGACCAAGTGATTCAGCCACTCCTCATATGGCCCCTCCAGATCCTTCACCATTCTCATGTCCCTACTTTAAGATCTTTAGGGCTTTCTTATTGTGGTGGCCAAAACTGCCCAGCCCTAAGAACAGCACACTAATCTTGAATGACAGGAATATTAACAAAACATTTTAAAGCTATATTGGCATTTCTCTGATCCATGTGACTCATGGATGGTTATCCATGAAGGAATCCAGGTATTAGCTTCCATTACAAAAACTGGGAGATGAGAGCCTGGGAAGATGTCTGTTAGGATCTGGGATTCAGTGATGTGCATGCTCAGATTTTGCCAAAAAATCAGCACCAGCACTGCTTAACAAAGCAAGACAAAGGTATCAAAAAACCTAGGCCAAAATATCCACTTGGTTTTCAAAGAAATCTGTGTTCCTAAGTCACATAGACACTTTCAATTGTTCTACAATAAAAAGTAATGAGCACCAGTCACACTAAGAATTTGATGGTATAAAGACTTGTTTGGTTGTGGGACACTGTTCATGCCTAGTCTCCAACACAAATCAAAACCCAACAAGGAACCAGGTTAAAAGACAGTTGTAGATGAGTTCCCTGATGTGTCTTATGTTCACCTTCCAGAGGTTTGTGTTCTGGGGTTTCCCTGTCCAGCTTGCTTATACAAATGTAAACAAAAATATTTCCATCCTCAAGGAGCCCAAGTGAGATTTTATAAAGCAAAGTGTGCTAAGGAGGTTTCTCAATCAGTGGAAAGGGAGCAGCTGTTTACACATAAATATCTAGTGTTAATTAACATTTGGAAGAGAGTGAGAAACACTTGATGCACTTTGAAATAACACAAATAAAAACTACCACTCTTAGATGGTTCTTAAAGTAAACATCTAAACTGAAAATTAAATTGTTCCTGATACGGTAAATAGGCATTTCGCTATTGTGAAAAAAGATAGTTTTACCCTTCCTTTACACAGTAAGACAAGTCCTTTGAATATCTCACTTTTGGTGACAAAAACGACTCACTTGTGATGAAATTATTAAAACACACTTCACAGTGCTCCGGGATCTGGGAGGTTTCAGTCCAGTCTCAGACTTTACAGTCCTTCCTGAGCAGATTACTCCCATGTGGAAGCATACATTCTTCTCTCTAGCTTCAGGCTGGATTTGGTACTGTGTTTCTCACATCTGGTAAAAAACTACCCTGCAAACTTGACAAATGATAATGTAGCAGTGACTATCTGAAAATCAGATGGGGAATCCCACAGGTCCTAGTTTTATTTAGGCTTGGCTTGCTGGCTCATTCCAGTGACCTCTGCTGAGGTTTGGCATAGGATACTCATGGTTGCAACATACTTCTTTTCTCCTTTTTATTCAACCATTTTCTCCAAAGTTTCAACATGGCCACAACTTTGGTTGTATTTTCTTTTTCTCTCCTCTTTTTTGCTTTTTACCGTGGGTAGAATAAAATGATTGATGGCCCAGAATTCAATGATTTATCTTTTATTCCTGCATCTTAGGAAAACTTAAGAGTCTGAGTTTGGAAATTCAAATGGACAAATATGTTTTCATTTCATTCCCCTTTGCAATTCATCTTTTCCAAAACTTACTATGTTTTAACTGCAGCACAAAGAAACCTTATAAAAATTTACATCCATCATGTTATACTAGCTGGCAGAAAAAAGAAAAAATTATTCACAATTTTTTTTCAAAACTTGAGCAGAATTATTATTAGGAAAGTCTTCCTCAGAAAACTTCCACACTTGTAAGTTTTTTCCCACTAGAGCAAAGAATAAAAGATGTTACTGTCTAGAATATGATAGCATATCCCTAGCTCCAGCTCCTCCCAAATTTCCAGTGGAGGAGCTACATCTCCATTGGTTTGGGTGAGTGTGTGGGTAAACACCCCAAACCAGCCATCACTCACATACAGCTGTGAAAGGCCCACGATATTGGTGGAGCCTTCCCTGACCCAGAGCCACATCAGCAGCTGGGACACAGGAGTGGCTTGGCCACAGGTGAGCCCAGCCAGGTGTGGTGTTTGGTTTCCCCAGGTGATGCCAGGTGGAGGCAAACCTGGACACGCATGACATGAGCAAGGGCCAGGCCTTGCTCCCACCTGCAGTGCGTGGCACACCCCACAGAGCATTCCCACCAAAGATGGTAGGTGTGCTTCTCCCCAAAGTATATTTAAAGTAGTTTGATCACTGTTCAGGTCTGGAGACATCAGAACCCTTTATTTTTGAGGCAGGTGTGCTCACCTCAGCTGGAGGGCAGATGGGCTCCAGTGGCAGGGGCCAGGCTGTGGCTGCCTTCCCAGCCTTTCCTCCACTTCTCCCGTCTAAGGCCTCTCCAAACTGATTTACAGCTCCCTCCGAGTGCCTGGGATGGAATTAGAGCGCCTTTTATTACACGGTGCCTTCGCTGTTATTCTTGCTGCACGGCACAGATTTATGATGGCTTTTAAACCAGGCAGCACATAAAGAAATATGATCTTAACAAAATATAGAAGGGACCAAAGGAGGTCAAAGTGTGGGAGCTGAACACTACATGGTGATCCAGGATTTCCTTTTATTTACTGCTCACACCTTTTCAGTCTCAAGTGGATTTGGGCTGTCTCAGGCAGCCCTACCCCATGTAATCCTCTGGGGCCAGAGACTTTGCCATCAGCGGATGTCTTTCATTACAATTTAGCACATGTAGGAAATCCCAAAATGCCACTGGTGAATTACATGAATTTTAGACACAGGGTGCCAGGAAGGCACACAGCATCAGGGTAGGCAGGAACCCCACATTCATCTGGGCAGGCTTTCTGTCTCTTGACACCTCCTGCTGTGGCAGCAGCTGAGGGTTTTCCAGGTTAGTGGTGTCCTGCAGAGCTCCTCTGTTTTCAGTGCTGGAGGAGAATCATTTATGAGAGTCCTTCATGGAGGCATGGAGCAAAAGCTGTGCTCATTTCCATGGCTAGGACTATGGGACAAGGAAAGTAATACTGTAAGCCATTCTACTTTATAGCTTTATTTACAGATACTCATCAATTATTCCTAAACTGTGGCATATAAGAAAAATAGGAGGCCTTGCACTTAGCCTGCAGATGGATAATGTGAGATCTGCAGCAGGTGCAAGGTGTCTTGAGCACAAGGGCAGAGCTGCAGGGAGTCACCTGCAGGACCATGGTCTGCCTTAAACACTGCCTCAAACTGCAAAGTGAAGCAGCTGGCAAGGGGGAGGGAAGCTGTAATTACAGCCAACAACTGACTCCTCAGCCAATGACTACTACTGAGAGCCTGCTCTTGAGCCAGAAGCAAAGAACAGAAGTCTTTTCTCTCTTGGGTGAGGGCTGTAATCCCCTACAGCTATAGTATCATTCTCTACATTAATAAAACAAGGTCTGGTGTGCTCCCTTTCATTAAGATTTATTATCATTATTTCTCCATCTGAGGGAAGGAATTTATCTCTCTTCTTGCCTAGGGCTGTAGCAAGGTTCCCATGGTGTGGGGGTTTTGTTTGGTTTATTCAGAGGGGATGCTTGTGGTTCACCTGCTGTTCTAAGTTTCCAGAGCAACATCCTCTCCAGTTCTCCAGCTGCTTGCTGCTCACATTGTAAGCCCTTTCTAGAGCAAGTCGGTCCTCATCTGTTCTTTGGGAACTTCACAGACCACAAGCCCACATCTGAAGCACTTGTTTTTTTAGAAGCCTGGACTCTTGTGAGATGTAAGGCAAGACATCAGCACTGACAGTCACCACAAAACTGCCTCCTCTCAACCAATTTCACAGGTGAAAACATTTATAAAAAATTTAAAATTTAAATTTAAAGTATTTTAAATGAAAACCTTTATAAAGTAAGCAGCACCCTTTTAGTTTTCAATACAGGATATGGTTATGGTTACAACAAAATAGTTGCTGGAAATAATTTGCAGGAGAATTGGTGCTTTGTCAGCCAACCATTGCTGTTGTCATTTCTTTGCCAGGTGCAGTTCCTCAGAGCCTGGGCTTTGCCTGAGAAGTTCTCAGCTATGTGTGTTCTCCTGATTCCAGGTCTCCTCCAAAGTGGCATCCCACAAAGGGTGAGTGATGTCACTTTGCCAAAAGGGGAGATGTGGTCCCACTGATTTTGGGATCCCCGTGTTCCCCAGCTCTCTATATTTGAACTGATTATTGAATTTCTCATGCTTATATCCTCACAGTATGTGCTGTTTATCATGACATCAAAACCAATACCTCTTGCAAACACTAACACTACTGCACATGGTTAAGTGCAACATCTAAATCAGTCAGTTCTTGTGTGTTTTCAATAAGCTATATCATTGATAATTTGACATATGGCAAGACCTGGTACAATATGTACATGCTGCCTCCTTTTTTCCTCACTGTAGTTTTGATGACTCCCCTCACCAGTCCCTTGAGCTGGGGGGCCAAAAGTGGGCATTAAATTATAGGTTTATCCTAACAAGTCCTGAGTAGCTGCGGCCTGACAAATATGTTCATGCAGATACTTGAATAAAAGGATTTAAAAAATCCAAAATTCAGCTTCAATATACAGAATGAATATATTTTTGCCTATGTTTTTGCCAAGTGGTTGTCCTCGGCTTATTTTTTCATTACTGATGATGCAGAAAAGGTGAGGAGAAACAACTGGATCCTGTCTCGTGCATTAAGAGACCTTGGGAAGAGCATGTTCAAACCGAACAGAATGTTTTTCCCCAGGCTGTTACAATAAATCAGTGGAGATGGTTTCTGTGGAAGGCACTGCACTGCCCTTGGCACCTCAACAAGCCATGAGAGGTGGATATGGATGAGCACAGTGTATGAAGCATTCCTGTTTCAGCTAATGGGGGATCCTGGGAAGGGCACAGCCTAATTTTTTGGAAGGAATTTTTCAGTTGTGTTTAAAAGCTTTTCAATGGCTTTTTTTTTTTTTTTCCACTTTTTTAAATGACATGAGCACTGGCTTGAAGGAGTTTTGGTACGAAGCTGTCACACTGCTACACTTGCTGTCCTTTAGCTGATTTTGTCTTTGGTGTTTTTTCTTCACAGAGGTGACTTGGACTGAGAAGTGAAGTGGGGAATAATCTCAGTCTGTCTGTCTGTGTCTCTGTGTGTGTGTCCATCCCACTTTGGCCAGGGACAAGCTTCCAGCTGAAAGCAGCCTGAGTTGACAGCAGACTTTGCTATGGGTAATCACATGGTTTGCTAATTAGTAATTTTTGCATTTTTTTTTCCTACCAAGTGTGTCACCAAGGTTTCCTCTTCCTTGGTGACACACCTGGCTCATGCAAGAGCCATGAAGAGGTTCCTCAGATGCTACTTCTCCTGTCAGGAACCTCCTACTTGTGCACTCAATCTGTGTAGCCAATTATAACCATTCCAGTGGGCCACAAAACCCGTATTTTATGATAGAGTGAAAATATGAAGTCACAGCCTAAACTATGTTGCACTTCTTGCTGGGCCGTGTAATGTGTATTTAAATGAAGAAAGGTGAAAACACTGCACCAGCATAGAAATTTGTCTGTAGAACGTGGATCATCTTGTGTGCTTCTCTACCAAGGCTTCAGCAAGCTTAAGGGCACTGTGGTGGTTTCACACGGATTGATATTTGGGGAAAGAAGTAAGAAACACCCATGGAAGTGATTTCTTTGAGGGAAGCTGCTGGGAGCTTCCTCTGTGCCTAGGACAGGCCAATGCCTGGCTGGTTCTGAGAACTGACAACATTTTGCACCATTTAAAAATTAGGTCCACTTCTGTGAATTCCACGTTTTAAAAACCACAAACCCGGGAACTTTTTTCTCTTGGTTTCCGGCCTCAGAAGGGAACGGAGCCCTGGTGGGGCCAGCCCTGCTCCCCCTGTGCGGGGGAGGCTGGGCCGGACTCCAGCGGCTCCCGGGTGGGGACGGAGGCTGTGGGGCCCTGGCCCCAGGCTGGGCCGGGCCACGGCTGCTGACATCTCACCGACACCAAACCCCTGCTCCAGGCCACGGCTGCTGACATCTCACCGACACCAAACCCCTGCCCCCGGCCCGCACAGACTGCTCCAGGCCGAGCCAGAACTACCCTCCCCTCCAGCGGCTGCCGGGCCGAGGGAGGCACCAGCGCGGGCTGAAATCCAACACCGTGACTGCTGCGGCCACTGGGCGAGATACTAACCCTTTCAATACACAGATGAGACCTGCAGGCCTTGTTCCTCTCTCCAGGGAGAGAAAAGGAGTGACGACACGTAGGAAGACAACATGAAGACACCAAGGTCAGTTAAGAAGGAGTCAAGCCTCAGATGGAAGAAGGATGAGGAGATGCTGAATGGGGCTGGAAGCTCTTTTGGTAGGGCTGTGGAGATGGACAGTTATATACCGAAATATCCCCTTTAATTCATGAAAGAGTATGGGGAGATGGAATATTCAAACTGTAGATGTGAGCAGAGGCATCCATTGATGAAGCCAAGCAGATGGAGTAGCTGTGGTCCCATGAGAAGCTTGAACAGAGAGGGAGATGAGGGTGATGAAGACCCTTTGTACCAGAGAGAGAAGAAAACCTCTGTTCCCAGAGATGATCACAGAGACACATGAAGAGAACCTTTGCCTTTGAGCAGCTCATCCTTAAAATAACACCCCATGAGTTCATGGCCCATGGATGCACCTCTAAGAGGGCTGTGAAAATGGAAGGAATGTCACAATGCAGAACTTTTTGCCCAGGCAGTGGCTATTTGTGAAAATGAAAATTTCTTGTGGAGAAGTCTCCAAGGTGTGACAAGAGAAAACTCCCCTCCCTACAAGAAGTGATGGAAGATCATTGTATAGTTGGTACTGCTTTAACATACCAGGTTTTGTCTCTTCGTGGTCAATTGGGAAAAGAAAGAGTTGGGTAGGGGTAGGAAAGATGGTCTGGAAGTTTTATTCTGATGCTTACTATTCTTGTAGCCCTGTTAATAAAGTTTCTTTATCCCTTTTAAGTTTTAAGCCTGTTTTGCCCTTCTCCTCATCCATATCTCACAGCAAGAAATGAGTAAGTGCCCTGGTGATTTTAGCCAGCGCTAAAACCCACCACGGGCACAGAAATGAACTTTTCTGCCTAGCAGCGCCAGGAGATGTTGTAAAAACAGTCAGAGAGAGAATGATTGAGGGGACTGAGCATTTTAAACTTGCTCTGGCTTTATGCCTCACCCTTTCAGGAGAACATAGCCTCTTCTTTCCTATGCACCCAAAGACAGACCATAATGATAAAGGAATAACAGAAATTTCTGATCAGCTCTAAGCTTTGAAAGTGCTCCTTCTTCTATTGGTGACACATCTAGGTCCAAAAAAGCCAAAAACTCCTAATCATTCTTGTAGTTTTCTACTTCATAGCTACAAGCAGAAATCAATACTGAAGGTCTGTAAACAGTGCTCTGGCTGTGTAGTGTCCTTCATCTCAGCTGTGGGCTGTAGGAAACCTCAATTCCCTGGCTGCAATAAATGCTTCAGGCTTCAGGGCCAAGCAAAAAGTTTAACTAAAAACAGATAGATAGATAGATAGATAGATAGATAGATAGATAGATAGATAGATAGATAGATAGATAGATATCTGCTGATGCAATCTCTCACTCTGAAATTTCACTCTGAAATATGGAGACCTCTTCTGGAGGATGATTTAGATTTCAGTCTCACTGTCAGTGTCCAGTGAGTGCCTTGCACATTCTATGTAAAGATTTTCTGATAACCAGAGGCATTGGTCTCCCATTGCTTTGCATGCCCGATGTTACCAGCTCATGACTTGTTTGCCTCATCTGAGAGACTCAGCAACACTTTCTGTGCTCTGAGTAGCCAGGCATCACTGGAATTTTAGGAGGGACTATGTTTGGCAGTTCACGGCTATGGCAGTGCTGGTGCAGTGGATGATATTTTGGCTTTCAGGAGGCTTGATGACTTTGAGGAAATGTTTTACTGATGCTTTAGCACCAGAGAAGATCTGCTCTTCTATAAACATCTAATGAAATGCAGCTTTTTGTTGATTTGTGATTTAAGTCTCTCCTAACTCTGCTATCTGCTGCTACCTGAACTTGCCTCTTCTTCCTTAAATGAGATTATCCAGGGCATTGTCAAGCAAAGCCTTTAATATTTCCACCTCTTCTCTGGAAAGCCTATTGCTCAATTATTTTCTGGTTGAAGAATTATTTTTTCCTATATCCAGAAGGAATTTCCCCTAAACTGTCTTGTGCTCACAGGACCTCCTGTCCTGGCACCAGGAATCCTTTGGAAAAGAGAGTCTCCATCTCCTCTAGAACCATCTTCTTTGGATGTTGAGACACTGACTAGACCCATCCTGGGCCTGAACAAACCCACTTCCTTTAGTCTTTTTTCATTTCATGTTCTCCAATGGGCTCTCTCTGGTTCTTTGGTGTCTTTCAATGTCTTTCATTTTCTTGAGCTGGGGGACAAAGATGGGCACTAAATTCCAGGTTCATCCTAACAAGTCCTGAGTAGCTGTGGCCTGATCAATATGTTCATGCAGATACTGGAATAAAAGGATAAAAAAAAAATCTAAAATTCAGCTTCAATATACAGAAATAATTTCTTTCCGTACCAAAGCAAGTTCAGAAACAGAGATTAACTCTCTCCTATTTATGCAAAGGATGAGACCTCAAAAAAAAAAAAAAAAAAAAAAAAAAAGGAGAATAGGAGAATAAAGCAGTGAGAAATGAGTTCAAATTGCATGAGAAATCTCAATATTCAAATTGCATAAGAAATCTCAATGTTCAAAGCATAGTAAAATTCTGTAAAAGACAAAATTTAATGGACATTCTGAAGAGAAAATTATACCTCTCTCTTCTTGCATTCCTTCGGATTGAATGATCAGTGTACTCTGATTGAATGAGTCAGTGTACTAAAGTATTTATTAATTTATCTATTTTAAGTTTGCATTACCTAATGTACAGGAGTTCCTGGAGGCAGAGTGAGGCCTGGATATTCACTAATGAGCTGGTGTTTGTAATTAATGTTAAACTGTGAACATTGAATGTTAAACTGTGTCCAGCCTCATCCTAAAGCAAATTTTTAATGGGCTAAAAGTTCTGCCAGCCAAGCTAAGAATGAAATCCTTATGATGCTACTTGTCTATTCTCTCCTAAAGGAGAAGGGAATCCTGAAGATATAAAATTAGAAGCAGGAGGAAGGGAGGACACAGGGTATTATTCAACAGGTGATAGAAATTCAACTGAGATTGCATATGTGCAACATGATCAGGTTGGAAAAATAATTAGTTGAGCTGGGAGCAAAATGTACCTCTAGCAGAAGCAGCTGGCTTAGTCAGGAGATAGAAATCTGATGCTGGAGAGAGTCTGAAGCTGAGCCTGATCAATCTGATTTGAGTTTTTCAAAATACAAATTCCTCCTGCTTAGTGGGACATCTTCTAGTGAACAGTGTATACATTGGCTTAAAATAACTCGGCTTGGTCTTCAAAGTGAGTTTGTCTCAAGCAGTATCTGAACTCTTGAGAGTGTGAGATTCTGCAAACCAAGCAGAAGGATCTCCTGCAATTCAATATTCAGCAGCTGTCAAAGCTTTTCAGTTCGTCGTGTGAAAGAGGCAGTTACAGAAAATGGGAAAAGAGGTTTCAGGAACACAGTTACTGACTTGACAATGTAAACATCCACAGGAGATGGAGGTACAGGGGAACTGGCAGGGAGGGCTTGGGAGTGACACAAGGAAGTTGCTCAGAAGATCATGTTTCAGCACTGCCAGGACTGTCAGTATGTCTGTTAAAGATGGCAAGAAGGAAAAATGAAATACTAGACTAATATAACACATCAGGCTGAAATAAATTAGATCTGAACGGAAGCTGGAGAATGATCAGGCTGGGGCATCCGTGACCACAGCAGGAATGAGTGGATGGATGTGGAAGTGTTATATCTACAGATGATTCCCAAATACAAAACAAGCACTTCTGCTTCCAGACATTAGGAATCTGGGGTAGAGCTTCAGCTTCAGTCAGACTTGTCTGGAAATCTGGGAGATGCATGTGAAGTTCCCTGGAAAAAGGTAGAGACTGGGGCATCTAAAATATGAGAAAATTCTGTTCAAGTCCCTAAAGAAGCAGTATAAATTGTAAAGAACAGCATTGAAAATTTAGCTGTGACTTACAAACCCCTGGTATGATTCTGACTTAACATCTTCCTTCCTCCCTTCTTACTTGTTTAACAAGTTTTCCATGCACCATACTGCCTTTATACAAAGTTTCAATTCTTTTGCAGCAAGAGTTACTGGCTTAATATAAAGCTGCTCTTTGAAAGAAGTTACTTTCCCTTTCAGCACTTCTAAATATTTCTGTTTCGACTTTGTGCTCCTTTCCCCCCAAAATCTGAGTTACAAAACTACTTCCTTCAGTCCCCAGTGGAGGCTTATTTGTATTGGCTTTGATGTGAGCAGTTTAGCTGCTTGGCTTAATTTTAACCTTTCAGGGGAAGGGTTTATTCCAAATTAATTACACAGCATGAAATCTTGAAAGGCACAGTGAGATTCTCATAGAAAAAATGCATAACAGGTCTGGTAGGGGAAAAATGTTACAGAACTGATGTTCTCCTTGTCTAAAAAAGGAAAATACAGGTGGTATCTTTGTCAGTCTCCCCACTGGAAGTAATAGGCAAGATTTTAAAAGCTGATTAACTGCTGCAGCTGAAGAAACTCAACTCTGACAGTCACACAAAAATCAAAAAGACCAAAATAGTCTTAAATAAGAGACGGATTCTTTCTAAAAATATTAACATTAACATCAGGTGGCTTCCCAAAAAGTAATTACAGGTGATACAGACTTCAGGGGATAAAACCTCTGGGGCAGCTACAGTGTCTGGACAAATTAAGAAGCCCAGCTGTAATGTTCAGAAATATGAGATGGATAGGTAAATCCACTGGTCTGGCTGGCCAGTGATCAGAAATGTTCTAAGCAGCAAGGAAGTACAAAAGAACTCAGCTGCTTTGGCTCATACTGACAGAGAGAAATTGCAGCAGCAAGAAACTTGCAAAAGGAAATTAAAAGCTGTCAAGATTCCTTAATGTGGAAACACAGATCCATCCAGTATTTCAAATTTTCTTTTACTTTGGATACAGATTTCAATGTTTATAGACTCCAAAATTACTGCCGTAAGAAAGAATGGAAGGCCATTACTATAAAAGTATACATTTTCTGGGGTCACAGCATCAGTTGAGATTGAAGAATGATCTTGATGCTCTTGCTTTGGGAACAATAAACTACAGTACACCTCATATATAAGGAGCTGCAGTGGGGATAAGAAAGATGGAAGCAATTGCTTTACATCAGAATTGCTAAAAAAGGCAAATATTTGCTGTAGAGGAAAATGTCTTATTTCAGCATATAAGCAAAAGCCTCCCTTAAAGTTATAATCCCTGCCTTGCTACCAGCCAGATGTTCTTCATAAAGGAAAATTCACCAACTCT